GTTCATAAAAGACTGGAATATGGAGGGGCTGTTAGCTAATCCGTACGGCATGACTCGGTATTCGTACTGCCCCCTACTGGTAATAAACGATGTTTTCCATTCGTCGCCCTCGCGGATTCTCACCAGATTGTACGCGCTTCGCAGGTCTAACTTGGTGAATATAACCACCTCGCGTACTTGCTCTAATGCGGACAGGATTAAGGGAAGGGGTTCTCTCCTCTTAACGGAGATAGCATTCAGAGCTCGGTAGTCGATCACCGGCTTTAGTCCCCCATCCTTCTTCTTGACGAAGAAGAATCCTGCGGTCATGGGCGAGGTGGAAGGCTGGATTATTCCCTGGCGTAGTCCCTCCCGAATGTAGGTTTCCAAGGCCTCTTGTTCCTGTAAGGAGATGGGATACAACCTACCGCGAGGCAGGGGGGCTCCCCCCAGTAAATCAATGGCACAATCGCAGTCCCGATGGGGAGGAAGGCTGAATGCCCTCTCTTTATTAAATACGTCCGCGTAGTCCTGGTATTCCTCCGGAATGACTGATAAATCCTCTGGTTCGGGGCTCTCCACACCTGTTGCCTTACACGGGAGAGACATGCATTCTCCAAGACATTGTTATCTCCCCGGCTCGCCAGTCTATGCTAGGATTATGTTTTCTTAGCCAAGGGAGCCCAAGTATGAGGGGGTCTTTGGCTTGGGGTAGAACAAACACCTCCATCTGCTCCGTATGCAGTGCCCCCACTGTCAACATGAAGGGGTGTGTCCGGTGTTCAATTGTTCCCTCCCGAATGTGTTCTCCAGTGACCCCCTGTACCTTAATGGGAAAAGCTAGCTGGCTGAGAGGTATCCGTAACTGACGAGCCAGGTTAGCGTCCATGAAATTACCCGCTGCACCGCTATCGAGGAGTGCCCGTACAACACGATGTGCTCCATTGTACTTTACAGACACCGGCACCGTGAACTGCGTGAGGGACGAGAGAGGCATGGAGAGTACACCTACCGGCAATGGTGGCTCTTCTCGCCGGGGCCGAACGGGGCAAGCGGAAACGGCATGACCCACTCCCCCGCAGTATAGGCACAAGCCTCCCTGCGTTCTCCGTCTACGCTCGGTAGTGGTGAGCGGCGATTGACCGATCTGCATGGGTTCGGTCGAGTCGGATCCGGGAGCCGGAAGGGCTCGCAAATTGTCGGTCTGGGTCCTCCGGCGGCGGCGATCTCTCACTGTATTGTCCAGCCTTACGGCCTGGCATACGAGTTTGTCAAACGAGGAGACCTCACCTCTCGAGGTGAGCTCGTCCTGTAGGTCGGGATTCAGGGCTCGGAGGAAGATGGTCTGTAGGCAGTCGTCAGGCCACCGTAGAGCTGCTGCAATGGTACGGAACTCAAGGGAGAAGTCCGCCGCGGTCCGGTTTCCCTGGCGACAGTCCAGTAGACGGAAACCCGGACGTCTCCCGACCGCCGGGTGGTCGAATATCTCCATCAGGGCACGATGGAATTCCCCACCAGAATGGAGCAATGGACTTTGATCAGTCCAGAGGGCAGTAGCCCACTCGTGTGCTCTTCCGGTAAGCAGCGAAATCGTGAAACGAACTTCAGCTCCGGGCGCAGTGAACATCTCAGGGTGTTCCTCGACGTAGATGCCTACCTGCATCAAAAAACCCCTACATTGGTCGGGATTCCCGTCGTACCGCTCCGGAAGGGCGATGGACAGTGGGACGCTGGGACGTGGCAGAGAACCTGGTAAAGGCACTTGCGCAGCTTGAGTGGTGAGGAGCTGCTCCATGGCAGAAACGCGATTCTCCAAACTCCCCGCTGGATCCATTGAAAGGCGAAGTATTCTGTCACGCGGGGAGAGGCAAGGAGAGCAGGATCCAGGAATGCGGGGAAGGAAGTGTTTTATTAGATTGAACAGTGGGTGTTCAGAGGGAGCCGTAAGCTCCGTAAGGGGAAACGGGGCGAAGCCCGGTCTACGGGGAGCCCGGGAGAAGGCGATCAGGCAGACCAATCCGGAGGTGGCGAGCAGAGAGAATGGTCGAGGTCCGAAAGCGCAGGTCGAAATCCGAAGGGTCAGTCCGATACATACACGCGGGACAGGGAGACAGGAGGGCTGGTCAACACGGGAAGCCGGGCTCAGCTGGACGGACGGATCATGGACGGGAGCTGGGCTGAGGAGGTAAGGAGCAGGAGTTAAGGGGCGCACACGAGGAAGACAGGTAAGGAGCGGGAGCAGTGGAAGACGGAGGACAGAAATACGCTTAGTAAGGCTAGTCATGAGCTCAATACTTCGCGAGTTGGAAGAGCTCTACTTTGCCCATATGTAGGGGTGGTAAGTGAGCTGGGGCTGTCCGCACCCGTCGGGTCTGCCCCTGTGGGCGTGACAGTTAATATCTAGAACACAAATGACAATAGAATTTACAGTTTTGGATGACCTATCCCTTCAACATTGACAAATAAAAATTGGCATCACTTTCTGTATGACCTTATTACTGAGATGACAGTTTGGATTGGAGTATTCTTACTGAAAGAGGTCTGTGTTTGCTGAAATACAGAAGATAATTTGCTCCTGAATTTTTACTGTAGTAAAATAGAACTGTAGTACTGTAATAATTTTGTCACTCTCCACTTGGGCTTTGAAGAACAAGTCAGCAGTGGCGCTGGCAGAAATTTCCCCCTTCATCTTATAGGGCTAAAATTTAGATTGGACTCAAATTGTGAACCTCGACTGTAATCGCTTCAGTTACATTATTTCCCCAGGTAAAACCACAAAACTAATCCCATTTTTTCACACTTTTTTCAAATCTGAAATTTCCAAATAATAATTTAATGATTATTTTTGCATCACTTTATATTTTTGCAAAATTTGTGATATATGTGAGAGATGTATAGCTTTTAATTGAATACTGTTATTTTGCCCATACATATTTCAATTAAGTGGAATATAGAAAGTCCATTGTTTATGAATGTAATTGTGGAATGGCATCGTATAGTATAGCGGCCTTTTGCTGTTAAATTTAAACTCAGTGAGGATAATCCCAAGGAAAACAAATTCAGATGTAGTTTTACACGAGACATCGGACAGTAAATCAGACAGCAAATCAGATTAGTATTAACCTAGCTTGAGTGTGAATGGTGTGTGGAAATTAAGCATAAAGTATAACAGGAAGGAAGAGGTGCACTTAATGATATACACATTCATGTTTTATATTACCTTAAAAAAAAGTGAACACAGTAAGCAAAAGAAGAAAGACTGTGAGCCAGCTGGAAATGATAGATGCTGGGTATTTGTCTCTTCAGCTGAGCACCACACTTTCCTGCTTGAGACTGGGTTTTTCCCTAATGTTCCAAGCAAAGCAATATATGTGATTGCTAATGATCCTGGGGGATTAGGTATTTGAGTTTTGGTGCTGGCTGGAGTCAGGAGAGGGCTGTGACCTGAAAAGGGAAAAGAACTGTAAGACGTAGCAGGACTTTGGCATGAAATTCAATAAGAATGTATTGATAAAGGAAAGGAGGGAATGGGCCTTTATGAACCATTTCAATAAATGGTAGCAGAAAAATAATGACCATTCTCCAACAGACTACCGATTATTCCTTTGGAATAACTTACATTTTGGTACTGGATTTTGGGAATATCATTTTTAAAAGAAGTGAGTTGGTTCTCTAGTCATTGTGTTCCAGCTTCTGTCTGTCTTGTGTCTTTCTCTGATGTGATCAGTCTGTCTTATTCTTTATCCTCCCTCTCTCCTCTACACTACATTTCTGTGGTGTGTGTTCGTGTTCACCTCCTTCTGAGGTGAGTCTCACTACATGCCATCTTAAAGTCTTTCCTGCTCATACTGTACTTTCTCCCTCATATTGGTCAAGTTCTCCTACATAACAGGGTTAATACCTCTGTGAGAACTGTCTTTCTGAGTAATACATTAATATTTTGTCCCTTAACAAGCTTAATTAACCCTGTTAATGCATTCAGTTCTTTCCCTCATGTCTTTCTTTGTACCTGAGTATGAGAAGCATTAATCCTTTCCCTCTGTTTTCCTAACTCTCTGTGCTGCAGTTCGAGTAGCAGTATATTGTGTTGTTCTGCTCTGTGATAACTCCTCTTTCTCTCTTTTTCTGTCTCTCCCTCTCTCTGCAGTTTGCCAATATTACTGTATTTATTGTCTTACAGTTTTGCCAACAAAGCATCTAAATTTTACAATCATCAAAATAATAAAATGTGCTTGCATATGTTTCCACAAGACATCAATTAAGACAAGGTCAGAATAAACAGGAATAATCAAATGGTATCTTGTCTCTGACATGACATGTCCTGGCATTTCATGCCTGTCAGCTGTTGCTATTTTGATTATTTTTGTGATGCGTCAACTGACTATCACTTCACTGTGACTGAAAAAAACATCTCCAGAGGTCAGAGTTGAAAGTATGGCGAGATCAGTGGGTCAGAGTGATGCTGACATCTCTTTCCAAGCTACAGTTTGCTGTATGAAAAGAGACAGTTGGAGCTACAGGTGTGTTTTCCACTGCTGACTGAATTACTGAGCTACATATATAGACATATGTATCTATATATGACGAAATTTATTCAGATCTATCAGTTTAAGAGAATGTAAAAGATTATGGTATTTTCTAGCTAGCAATTTATTAATACTAGCAATTTATTTCCCCTCAGTTTTTTGATTCTGAATTTTTGAAAGGGCTTTGTTGCTGGCTAAACTTGGTTGGTTTTGAGTCAACTGTTTAGCTGTGTATTAATTATATGTAATTATGTCAATTGAAATCAAAATATCAGGATATTCACTATGAGAGGAAATAAATAATCCATTTTAATAAATTCTACATGAAATGCATGCAAAATATAAAATGAAAGGAAACATCATCTCAGGAGTCTCACAGTTGCTGCCAGGGAGCAGTTTCTTATTGGCAGCCATGACAGGTTCAATTAACTTTGGTGTCCATGTGCAATTTTGGGGGAGATGAGATGGTGAGTGATTCTCTGTGTTTCTCTGAAGACTCGCTGTGCCGTGCTGCCTGTGTGGAAGTAGACTCGGATACCGAGGCTGTGGCTGGACATGGCTTCAAGCTGGGCTGCATCTCCTGTAAGATGAGAGGGGAAGTTTCTGCCAGTGCTACTGTTGATTGGTTCTTCAAGGCCAAAGGGGAGAGTGACTTTGTTCAGGTCAGTATACAGTATACAAGCACTGCTAATACATTCTTTCTATTGAGGGAGTGTCAGCAGTACCTGCATAAAGGGATTGTCCGTACATGGACAATGGTGTCCGTTACAAAATGTTTTGATTGAGAACAAAAAACATACATGCTATGCTCTTAAACACCACACCGATGTTAAAAAAAAATAAAAAATTGCCATGATGTTGACCCCTGCCTGCTGCTTCCCCAAAGTGAGTTTCTCACTTTGTAAGTGTAACTAATGATAAGGGGCCTCTCAAAAAAATGTCAGACAGTGATATGGTGATTTGCATTAAAAATTTTGCATTAAGAATTGCATTAGAATTTAAACTTTAAGAATAAAGCTACCAACTTTTCAAATATTTTGAAAATATTCTGTACCTGCCAAATATCTTTAATGATTACAACAGATGCTCTAGAATGTGTATAACCCTAAATTAACAAATGAAAACAAGTTACAAAAGTATTTGAAATTTAATTCAATCCTATTTCTGGCACAGCATATTGTTTGTCATTCCCAAGTGATTTTTAACATTAACTGTACTGGGGAAGATTTGAATGACTTTTGGGTAGCTGGTAGTGCTGGTGGACCCTATACAAATTACCTGGTGTATCACACACACACACACACACACAGATACATACACACAAGTTGGTCTTCCTATCTAAATGGGGACCGTCCATTCATTTCTATGGAAAAAACCATAATCCCAATCACGACACCCTTAACTCCCTGGGGTCTGAGGCCTCTCAGCCACTTTCGGGGTAGTCTGACATGCCTTGACATTTTAAAATATTTCAGCTCTCTAAAAAACATTTATCCCAAAGTGTTACATTTGCTTTTATTCAGCACAAACTCAGCACCAATAATCTGAGACCTCTTAGAATGTTAGTATTCTATTTTTTGTTAAAATCAACTTTAAACATATACTTTTCAAAAACCTATTTTCAGACATGCTGAGAAATTGTAAAAAAATCACATTATAGACATTTCTAGGTAAGACTTTTGAGCTCTGAAGCTTATAAACACAGGGGTTGGCTACACATAGTGAAAGTGACATTCTGAAATTTTATGTGGTTTGATTACTAAAGTGTTAGCACTTTAGAGTGACACTCTTTTTCTCAAAGTCAGTGGCCTTCACAATGAATATTGATGAGATAGGTGTCCTCACACCTGTAGTAGTTTGCATACTGTCAATGGCCCATCAGTCTGGAATGTCACTGCACCCCACACCCATCACTTTGGAAAGGCAGTTTGAAACACAAGAAAAGTAGCAACAATAAAATCCCTTTCGCAGATTATTGGTAGATGGAATGAAAAATGAAAAACTGTGACTATATAAATATAGAAAGCGATAAATACAGTATATGCCCACCCTCAGATTTCTAAAAAAAAAAAAAATCTGAGGGTGGGCCCAAACTTACATACACATACACACACAGCCGTGGAAAATTAAGAGACCACTCTATATTTTTCAACATATCTACATTGTTACGCTGAGCAGTACACAAGCATAAGATGAAGCAGGAAACACTGGGAACAACCAGAAACCAGCCAGGTAAAGGGTGGGAACAGCATTCTAATGCTAGAGATGACCAACAGTTTCTCATGAACCCTGACAAAGATGACATCAAGAGACGGAATGGAAAATATTAAGTGTAGGTGTGAAGTGCACTGCTAGGTGAGTTCATTTCAGGCTTCTAGAAGCAGGACCATAAACCATGGAAGAAATCCCTCATTAATGAGAAACAGAGAAGAACCAGGCTGCAGTTTGCAAAAAAAAAGAACACATTCACAGACACACACCCATAACTTGAGAAATGAGTGAAACAAATATTGTGCTGTGATCTCTTTCTGTGGCTGTGTGTGTCTATAGTATATATATAAATATATAGTTCCCCATCACAATCTGGGCAGTTGTTATAAATAGCATGCCATCTTGTGGGATTCAAGGCTATTTATCCACCAAATATGTAATTACAAATATATTACAGCTCCATTTTGGTCATTCAAAACACATTGTATTACGCATATACATTAGACATATTCAACAGAGTAAAGGTTTTGGGGATTTCTGAATGGCAAGGATCTCTGGTTAGTAGGATGCCTGGTTAATAAATTATCTCAGTATTTGTGATCATTCTCCTTTCAGGGTTTGCTTATGTGCTTATGCCTTTTCTCAGATATATAGCTATGAGGATGAGACTGCTACAATCATGGATGAACGCTTTGATGACCGACTTTACTGGAATGGCAGCAAGAAGACAACTGACCTGCAAGATGGTTCCATTTTTATACTCAATGTCACCTTCAATGACACAGGCGTCTACCGATGCTTCTTTGAACGTATCCTCACATACAACGACTACGAATTTCACACTAATGCTACCAAATTCATCCACATCAACGTAGTGGCCAAGGGTGAGCCTCATGGACAAGTAAAAGTACAGCAACTGTTGAGAGAGCATTTATTTTAATATCTAACATTTATAAATGGATCAGCAAGTGATGTAAATAACCAGATGTTGAGGGATGGCGATGATGATGATGATGATTGCACGGGTGTGTGTGATATTGTCAGATCGCTTTATTGGTTCACTGCTGTTATGCTAAAATAATAGAATCCATTGCCACTTCAACGATCAATAAATTAAAATGCATATTTACAATATAATTAAATGTATATTAACATGGATCCACGAATTCCCTTGCCCGGACGCGGGTCACCGGGCCCCCCCCCTGGAGCCTGGCCTTGGAGTGGGGCTCGATGGCGAGCGCCTGGTGGCCAGGCCTGCACCCATGGGGCCTGGTCGGGCACAGCCCGAACAAGGCACGTGGGTCCCCCCTCCAATGGGCTCACCAGCTGTAGGAGGGGCCATAGGGGTCGGGTGCAGTGCGAGTTGGACAATGGCCGAAGGCGGGGACCTTGGCGATCCGATCCTCGGCTGCAGAAGCTAGCTCTAGGGACATGGAATGTCACCTATCTGGTGGGGAAGGAGCCTGAGCTGGTGCGCGAGGCAGTGAAGTTCCGACTAGATGTAGTCGGGCTCACCTCGACGCATGGCCTGGGCTCTGGAACCAGTCTCCTCGAAGGGGGTTGGACCCTCTTCCACTCTGGAGTTGCTTACGGGAGAGGCGCCGAGCTGGAGTGGGCGCCTGTACATTGGGGTTTACCGCGGTGGACGAGAGGGTAGCCTCCCTTCGCCTTCGGGTGGGGGGACGGGTCCTGACTGTTGCTTGCGCTTATGCGCCAAACAGCAGTTCAGAATATCCACCCTTTTTGGAGTCCTTGGAAGGGGTGTTGGAGAGCGCTCCTCCCGGGGACTCTCTTGTTCTGTTGGGGGACTTCAATGCTCATGTGGGCAATGACAGTGAGACCTGGAGGGGCATGATTGGGAGGAACGGCCCCCCCGATCTGAACCCTGACCCACTGAACCCGAGTGGTGTTTTATTATTGGACTTTTGTGCCCGTCACGAATTGTCCATAATGAACA